CATTAAAGCGCACTATTCTCTCAGCTGTGCAGCCCCGCAGTCATCTAGGCCGCGCTGCGCCTGGCGGGGAATAGCCCTGTTGGGCGTGGGTCTCCCGACAAAGCTTTTGTGCGGCTCATCAATAGGAAATCAGGTATTTTAGGAAAGAACGAGAAGTGACGTTTTATGATGGTGTTACATTCTTGTAAGAAAGCGTATCAGTTCAAACTTTGGTGGGAGCCAAATGATTTTTCGGTGGGCAAAGACGTGAAATGAAAGGTTTAGTCACACTTACAGCAGATTTGAGTAGGACGAATAATACGTCAAACCGCGGGCTCCTTATAAGCTGAGGGAAGGGAAGGACGGAGCTGATCCGAACACAAACTACATGTAGACGGGCAACGTGCTTGAAAGGAGATGCCGCCGCGTGGGTCGACATCTGGTGCAGAAGTGCTACTCACTCATTAGTGATTAGATACTCAAGAATGAATGGCTAAGAAAATGCTTGTGAACTTCTCCATAGCCTATCAATATTATAGGTTACATGGTTGTTGATTTACAAAATCATCAACACAAACTTTCGAATTTTTCGCAAGTATTTTAATTAAGGGAATTTTTATTAGTCTCAGAATGTGTCTACGACAACGGTTACGACAGCATATGATAACAGCGTTTGGCAAAAATTTCCTTGCAAATTGATGTCGAGAAACTGAATTCCGTGTTGAATCATTTTAGATAAGTCTCTGGGAGAAATAAGGTGATCCAAGAAGGAGCCAGTAGGTAAAGGTTTATCTGCAGCAAACTGTGCATGCGTCAATTGACTGAAAGTTTATATGTTTGATATGTTACAGTTGATCAGCAGCTTTGTCCACTAAAATGATATGAAAAATTTGAGGACGAATACCTCAAAAAGCCAAGGAGCAGCAGAAGGAGCATTGTGTTCTGTGTTTCCTTTTGCGCAAACAAACGAAAGCTTTTTTGGGTAAAATTTACTTGTAACGAGAAGTAGTTAATTTGGGACAGAGATTATCGAACGAGTCGGTGGTTTGTTCTTATGAAACATCTCAGTTTGTGGTTGCTCATAAAGGGAGTTTGCTGT